AAAAAAAAAAAAAAAAAAAAATTTTGTCAAAAGATTATGGCCATAAGAATTAAGCTGAATGAAATAAGCTCTGTTATGTTGTAGCTTTTGTTTAAAACTGTTAGGAGTAGTCCATAAATATTGCTGATAATTCATAGTGTCTGTCTTACTAATGATGTTTGAGAAATGGAGATTTATATATCCCATGCTTGTTCATGTATATTTATACTAGCTTAAATTTGCAGGGTGTTTTGTTTGTTTGTGAGAAAGGATCTCGCTCTGTCATCCAGGCTGGAGTGTAGTGACGTGATCATAGCTCTTGTTTAAAGTATCCCAACCCTTAAAAATATATTGTTTTCCTTATCTGTTTATAGTTATTTCCTTGTAGGTCCCAGGATTTAAGAATAACATTTTATTTTTATTATTTATTTTTATTTATTTTATTTCTTTTTGAGACAAAGTCTCACTCTGTCCTTCAGGCTGGAGTACAGTGGCGTGATTTCCACTCACTGCAACCTCCGCCTCCAGGGTTGAAGTGATTCTGGTGCCTCAGCTTCCCGAGTAGCTAGGATAACAGGCACCTGTCACTATGCCTGGCTAATTTTTATGTTTTTTAGTATAGGTGGGGTTCCGCCATATTGGCCAGGCTGGTCTTGAACTCCTGACTGCACGTGATCCATCCGCCTCAGCCTCCCAAAGTGCTGGGATTATAAGCATGAGCCACCACACCCAGCCTAAGAATAACATTGTAAAGATAGTAGAATAATGATCAGGAAAGATGTACTGGTATATAGTGTCTGTCTTACTACTGATGTTTGAAAAATGGAGACATGTAGATTCCACGCTTGTTCATATATATTTATAGTAGCTTAAATTTGCAGGGTGTTTTGTTTGTGAGAAAGGATCTCACTCTGTCATCCAAGCTGGAGTGCAGTGGCATGATCATAGCTCACTGTAGCCTCTAGCTCCTGGGCTCCAGCAATCCTCCCATCTCAACCTCCTGAGTAGCTGGGACTACAGGTGTGCATCACCATGCCAACTTTTTTTTTTTGTGGAGACAGGGTTTTGCTTATGTTGCCAGGTCTCATTTTCAACTCTTGGGCTCAAGCGATTCTCCTTGGCCTCTCAGAGTGCTCGGATTACAGGCTTGAGCCACTGTACGTGGCTTGTTTCTTACTTAGAAACAAAAAACAGGTTTCATCTTTTTGAATATACATGTTTTTAATTTGAAAAATTTTTAAATTTAAAACAATTTTCTAAATTGGCTTGCAATTTCAGTCTTAGGTTTTCTCTAATAACATGCAGGGTGATTTCTTCTACGTTAGTTAAAACATAGAAAATGAAAAATTTCCTTTCTCATGCTTCTTTTACCTATAATCTGTATGTATATAATTTTTTTTTTTTTTTTAATCAGAGTCTCACTCTGTTGCCCGGGCTGGAGTACAGTGGTGCAGTCTTGGCTCACTACAACTTTTACCTCCCAGGTTCCAGTGATTTTCCTGCCTCAGCTTCCCAAGTAGCTGGGATTACCAGTGTGTGCCACCACACCTGGCTAATTTTTATATTTTTAGTAGACACGGGGTTTCACCCTTTTGGCCAGGCTGGTCTTGAACTCCTGGCCTCAAGTGATCTGCCTGTCTTGGCTTCCCAAAATTGTTGGGATTACAGGCATGAACCACTGCGCCTGGCCTGTATATCTAAAATTATATTTAAAACCTGGGGGACCTCTTTCCATGTAAATACATATACAGCTTTGTCTGATTTCCAGAAGTTACATATTATTTTGTGTATTATTATGTAGAGGTTATTTAAATACGATTATCAACAAAGTTGCAGTGAACGTCCTATATAGACATCTTTGTCCCTTTTCTTGATTCCCAGATAATTTCCCAGAAATCGAATTGTTTTATTAAAGGATTATATAAATTTTAGTATACCTTTCAAGATTACCCTTGAAAGGTACACTACCTTGGCTGGGCACAGTGGCTCATGCCTATAATGCCAGCACTTTGAGACGCCAAGGTGGGCAGATTACCTGAGGTCAGGCAGGAGTTTGAGAACAGTCTGGCCAACATGGTAAAACCCTGTCTTTACAAAAATAAAAAAATTAGGCTGGCATGGTGGTATGCACTTGTAATCCCAGCTGCTTGGGAGGGTGAGGTGGGAGAACTGCTTGAACCTGGGAGGCAGAGGTTGCAGTGAAGTGAGGTTGCGCCACTGCACTCCAGCCTGGGTGACAGAGTGAGGCACTGTCTCGGCTCACGCTTGTAATCCCAACATTTTGGGAGGCCAAGGCAGGTGTATCATGAGGTCAGGAGTTTCAAGACCAGCCTGACCAAGATGGTGAAACACTGTTTCTACTAAAAATACAAAAAAATTAGCCGGGCTTAGTGGCGGGTGCCTATAATCCCAGCTACTTGGGAGGTTGAGGCAGAGAATTGCTTGAACCTGGGAGGTGGAGGTTACATTGAGCTGAGATCACACCTCTGCACTCCAGCCTGGGTGACAGAGCAAGACTCCATCTCACAAAAATACAAAATTAAAAATAAATAAATAAATACTACCTCATACTCTTATCAACAGCATGAGAGAAATGAGAGACTGCCTTAAAATAATAAAATAGAATGTTATATTTCTAATTTTCTCATGTTATATATATATTTTTCCTTTTTTTTTGAGACAGTCTTGCTCTGTGGCCCAGGCTGGAGTGCAGTGGCACGATCTCAGCTCACTGCAACCTCTACTTCCCAGGTTCAAGCGATTCTCCTGCCTCAGCCTCCCAAGTAGCTGGGACAACGGGCATGTACCACCATACCTGGCTAAGTTTTGTATTTTTGGTAGAGATGGGGTTTCACCATCTTGGCCAGGCTGGTCTCAAACTCCTGACCTCAAGTGATCCTCCCGACTTGGCCTCTCAGAGTGCTAGGATTACAGATGTGAGCCACCTCACTTAGCCTATATTCTGTTGATGAAAGGATTGTTCTGTTTGTTTGGTGTAAGTACACTGTTAATACTGTTAATATTTCTTACTTTTTTTTGTGCCATGACTTGGAGTATTTCTTACTTCTTGATTTGGAGACTGAAGAAAAATTTGAATCTGTGTGTCAAATGGAGTTGATTTTTTGCTAGGAATTTGAGTCTCAGAAGTTTGGATTTTCTTGGGAGTGATGATTATACTGATTTACTGAAATTGACATAGTAGTTATTTTGGTAATATTTTGAATGAAGTAGTTGTAAAAACAATTCTATATATTTTCTTTAGAGTTCAGTTCTCCCAAAATTATAAAAGCAGGAAAACTCAAGACAAAGAAATCCAGCAAGGTATGTCTTTATAGGAAATAGTTCTTAACTGTATTGATTTTTGAAAATAGTGGCTAAGAACTCTTAGGTTATTATAAGTGTATTTTTCTTCTAACTGTATTATTGATATTAGCTTAAAGTTAATATTATGGAGAACCTTTATCCAAACCTCTCTATATATGTCTTTGCTATCATGTGTAACTCAATAATGTCATTAAATAGTCGTGAAAGCTTTATCGTAAGATCAAGGCATTCTTATTTCAGAAAGTTCCATTCTTTGGAGAAACTTTTGAATTAATTTGGCAGATGCCTTCATGTAACTGAATATAAATGATTATTAAAACTCCTTTCACTTTTAGAAAATGTTTTTCTTCTTAAAATTTCTAAAACTAATTTGCAGGCATAACACTTATTTGTTACTTCTTAGGCTAATTATTTCAGCGATATGGAGAATTGGCCAACGCCAAGTGAATTAGTGAACACTGGAGTGAGTATTAAAGTTTTTTTTTTTTTTTTTTTTTNCACTTTTCTGTAGCCTGGACCTCCCAGGCTCAAGCAATCTTCCTTCCTCAGCCCCTTAAATATCTGTGACCACAGACACACCACCATGCTCAGCTAATTTTTGTATTTTTTGTAGATGGGGTCTTACCATGTTGCCCAAGCTGGTCTCAAACTCCTGAGTTCAAGAGGTCACCCATTTTGGCTTCCAAAAATGCTGGAATTACAGGAATGGGCCACCATACTCTGCCAAGATACATGTTTTAATACACTAATTATAGATGTGCTTGGGAGTGTGTGTGTATGTGTGTGTGCACACCCACTTGCATGTGCATAAGAATAAATAATTATTTGTGGACTATAAGCTCTCTAAGGATTGGGGCAATGTCAGCTTTGTTCAGTACTTACCTATATCACAGTGCTTGGCATATTAATTCAGCATTATTCATTGGGTTCTTCCTATGTGTCAGCCACTGATTTAAGGGACACAGGAGTAAGCATGTGGGTGAAGCCATGAGTATTGTTGAATGGATGACTGAAATTTTAGGAGATTAGTGTGGACTCCAAAGTTCATGCTGATAGTTACTAATCATACTTTGTACTACAATTATAATCTTGAATTTTAAAAGTAGAAAAGAGAAAGAGAGATGGATTCAGAGGTTGTCATTTCCATTGTTCCATCTACAGGGTCATATTTATGACAGAAGATTTGACAGGACAATATTTGTGGCAAAGAACCTGAGAAGTTCCAGGAGATGCTGCTAAAAAATTTACATTTGAATAGAGCACTTTTCTACAGTATGTGAAAAGATTCCAACTGAAAATACCTCCTATATACCTTTGTATTTAACAAAATAACTCTTAACGTGACCTCTCAGAGGACATTCTATAAGCTCCTATGCCAATTAAAAGACCTTTAGTAAATTGGGTGCCTCTGAAGAAATGTACAAATTTGTTAGTGTTACCTCTGGCTGTAGCTAAATGAACAGGAGATTCTTAAGGGGATAAATAAAGCCTCTGTAAAAGTGAATGTATTGTGTGGGTACCAGAGAAATGCCTCAAGCTGAGATTTGCAGAGAAGACCCATTTTATAAACGGCTATATTTAATTAAGTAAGTGCTTGGAGTCTCTGGAGAGAAGCACTATGAAGATATTTGAATGAGCACAAAGTTAAGTAGCAATGAATGTAGAATTTTCTATTACTGGTGTTTTCGCCAATGTATTTTGTAAGCCCTTTGTGAGGCAGTAATACCCACTGCATCAGAAAATCATAGCGTATTGGAGATAGAAAGGAATCAAAAATTCATAATTCCAACCCCACCAGTTTACAAATAAAGAAACAGAATCCTAGAGAAGTACATGATTGTTCTGGTGTGAGGCAGCATGTAGTGGCATATCTGAGATCAGAAGTCTCATTTAGCTCATTAGTTTAGTTGTTGTTTTGTTTCTTGTTTATTTATTTATTTATTTATTTATTTATTTTTTATTTTTTTTTTTTTTTTTTTTTAAAAGGAAAATATGGTCATTTCAACATGTGGAATTTTATTTTACTTAAAATGTAAAGAATTGTCTTAGTGGGATACAGATTTATTTTTTATTTGTTTGAGACAGGGTCTCGCTCTGTCTTCAGGCTGGAGTGCACTGGTGTGATCACAGCTCATTGTAGCCCCAAATTGCTACCTCAGGTGATCTTCCTACCTTGACCTCTGGAGTAGCTGGGACTGCAGGCATGCAGCACGGTGCACAACTATTTTTGTATTTTTTACAGAGATGGGATTTTGTTGGTCTCCAACTCCTGGGCTCAGGTGATCCTCCTGCCTGAGACTCCCAAAATGTTGGGATTACAATATAAGCCGCCAGCAAATCTTCTTGATCATCAAGAAGATTTCATTTTAGTTTAATTTGCGGTTATCCTTTGATACTGCCAGTAGTGTTAGTAATGAACTTAAACTTTACTCATGGTAGGCTTAACCTTACCTATTATTTCTTTCATTCTTTCTTTCCTTTTTTTTTTGAGACTGAGTCTCACTCTTGTTGCCCAGGCTGGAGTGCAATGGCGTGATCTCCTCTCATTGCAATCTCTGCCTCCCAGGTTCCAGTGATTCTCCTGCCTCAGCCTCTTGAGTAGCTGGGATTACAGGCATGCACCACCACATCTGGCTTATTTTGTATTTTTAGCAGAGATGGGGTTTCTCCATGTTGGCCAGGCTGGTCTTGAATCACTGACCTCAGGTGATCTGCCTGCCTTGGCCTCCCAAAGTTCTGGGATTACAGGTGTGAGCCACTGCCCCTGGCTCTCCCTCTCTCCCTCCTTCAGCCTTTCCGTCCCTCCCTCCCTCTCCCTTCTCTTTCATTCTTTCTCTCTCTCTCTCTCTCTCTCTTTCTTTCTTTCTTTTTTCTTTTCTTCTTTTCTTTTCTTTTCTTTCGACAGTATCTCACTCCATTACCCAGGCTGGAGTACAGTGATACAATCACAGCTCACTGTAGCCTCGGCCTCCCAGGCTCAGGTGACCGTCCACCTTTACCTCTCAAGTAGCTGGGACTCAGGTGTGCACCATCACACTGGCAGATTTTTAAACTTTTTGTAGAGATGGGGTTTGGCCATCTTGCCCAGGCTGGTATCGAACTCCTGAGCTCAAGTGATTGGCTCACCTCAGTCTCCCAAAGTGCTGAGATTATAGGCATTAGCTACCATGCCTTGCCTATTATTTCTTTAATAATGAAGACATATTACAAGTTGTAATCAAAATTTTGTATTTGTATAAAATCACATAGATTGATAAACAGTTGCTGAAAACTTGGCAGCTATCCTTTTGATAGTTTTACCTACTTTTCAGATAACCCAATTTCATTCATCACATTTCCGTCATCTGGTTTTATTATTTTTTTTTTTTTTTTGAGATGGAATCTTGCTCTTTTGCCCAGGCTAGAGTGCAGTGGTGTGATTTCAATTCACTGCAACCTCCGCCTCCCGGGTTTAAGTGATTCTTCTGCCTCAGCCTTCTGAGTAGCTGGGATTACAGGCAACCTGCCACCTCACCCGGGCTAATGTTTTTTGTATTTTTAGTAGAGATGGTGTTTCACCATGTTGGCCAGGCTAGTCTCTAACTCCTGATCTCAAGTGATCCACCCACCTCGGCCTCCTAAAGTGGTGGGATTACAGGCGTGAGTCACCACACCCGGCCTCATCTGGTTGTATTCTTCAGAGGTAACCTTATATTTGAGATTTGCAATTTCTGCCATTTTATATATGTGGAAGCATTCAGTAGGTACTCTTTTTTTTTCTGACTTCTGCTCAGTATGATTATTTTGAGATTTACTTGTGTGTCAGCAGTTCATTCCCTTTTTATTGCTGAGTAGTATGGATGTAACACAGTTTATCCATTCACCTATTGTTAATGGACTTTTTGATTAATTTTGGGTTTTGGCTGTTACAGATAAAACTGCTCAATGAACATTTGTGTAGAAAATTTTGCATAGATATAGGCTTTCTTTTTTTCTTGAATATATAACTAGGCTGGATCATATAGTAGCTATCTGTTAGCGTTTTAAGAAACTGCTGAATTTTTACTTCAACCAGCAGTGTATGTGAATTCCAGTTACTTTACATCTTGACTCACGTTCTTTTTTTTTTTCTTCTTGAGACCAGGTCTCACCTTGTCACCTAGGCTGGAGTGCAGTGGCGTGATCTCAGCTCACTGGAGCCTTGACTCCTGGGCTCAAGTGATCTTTCCACCTCAGCCTGGCAAGTAGCTGGGACTATAGGCATGGGCCACCTTGCCTGGCTAATTTTTTGTGTGTGTTTTTATAGAGATGGGCCATGTGCCCAGGCTGGTCTCAAACTCCTGAGCTCAAGTGATCTACCTGCCTTGGTCTCCCAAAGTGCTAGGATTACAGATGTGAGCCACTGCGCCCATCTTTATTCACCCTTAATTCAGTCAGTTTAAACATTTTTTTAGATATTCTAGTAAGTATAGAATGGTATCCCATTGCAGTTTTAGTTTGCATTTTTCTGATGAATGATGACAATCATCTTTTTATAGATTTGCCATCAATATATCTTTTTGATGAAGTATCTGATCAATCTTGCCCATTTAAAAAAAAAAAAAAGGAAGGCTGGGTGTGGTGGCTCATGCCTGTAATCCCAGCACTTTGGGAGGCTGAGGAGGGGGAATCATTTGGTGTCAGGAGTTTGAAACCAGCCAGACCAACATGGCCAAATCCCGTCTCTACTAAAAATACAAAAATTAGCCAGGTGTGGTGATGTGTGCCTGTAATCCCAGCTACTAGGGAGGCTGAGGCAGGAGAATTGCTTGAACCCAGGAGCTGGAGGCTGCAGTGAGCTGAGGTCATGCCACTGCACTCCAGTGTGGATGATAGAGCGAGACAATGTCCCGCCCTACCCCTCCCCAAGAAAAAGTGGAATTGATTTTGAAAGTTAGTTCATTATGTATTTTAGTTACAAGTTCTTTATCAAATACTTTCTTCTAGTCTGCAGCTTGACTTTTCTCTTAACTATCTTTTGAAAAGTAATTTTTTGCTTTTGATAACAGTTTTTGTCATTTGTTTTGCAATTTTAGGTTAGATATAGTACCACAAATTTTGGGATATGTTGGTGAAAATGTTAATGGAAATAATTTCATTCTGAAACCCTTTCTGCAGTATCAGAGCATCCTCAGCCAAGGAAATAAAAAGCCACAAAATAGAAAAGAAAAAGAAGAGAAGATTGAAAAGAGAAGTAATAGTGAGAGCAAAGAAAACCGGGAAACAAAATTAAATGGTCCTGGAGAAAATGTCAGTGAAGATGAAGCTCAGTCAAGTAATCAACGAAAGAGAGGTCAGTTTGTCTATACCTTTATTTTGATTTTACATTTTTGAAGAAAGTTGTAATGAGGAATTGTATTTAATTAACTGATCTCTGGTAGTCAGAAATGTATAGTTTGTATTTCTTCAGGATAAGCAATTTATAGTAGTAACTCATTTGCTTTTGTAACATTTGTGAACGATTAAACTTTCCTTTTTGCATGTAACTTGTATTCTATGTAAGAAAATGGAATGGAGTTCCACTTATAGGTATGGTTGTAGATATATTCTTGGAAAGTTGTGTGACAATTATTGTTCTTTTAGATCTGCATTGGACTGCTCCCTATATTTAGGAAGTACTGTGAAAATTAAATACATATTTTTTTTCCCGAGAGAAAAGTGAGAATGGGCTGGGCTTGGTGGCTTATGCCTGTAATCCTAGTACTTTGGAAGGCCGAGGTGGGCAGATCACTTGAGTTCAGAGTTTGAGACCAGCCTGGCAAACATGGTGAAACCCCGTCTCCACTTAAAAAAAAAAAAAAAAAAATTAGCCAGACATGGTGGCAGACCTGTAGTCCCAGGTACTCAGGAAGCCGAGGCAGGAGAATTGCTTGAACTCAGGAAGCGGAGGTTGCAGTGAGCTGAGATCGTGCCACTGCACTTCAGCCTGGGAGACATAGAGCAAGACTCTGTCTCAGAAAAAAAGAAAAGTGGGAATAATTTTAGTTAACGTTTTCCCTCAACATTCTCCTGTCAAAATTATACTTTGAAGGAATAAAAATATTTTCTTCATATCTTTTTCCATTTTCTTTTCTGAACTTTTCGTGTGTCTAGGGACAAATTATAATTTATCTACTTTGTAGAAGCATATACTCATTCAGTGATCAAGTCTTGGTACAAGTGTCTCTAGGGGCTTCAAGGCAGAAAAAGGCTTTAAACTGTCAAGTTGTCAGTGACTGAAGCAAGGTGATTTTCTGAGAGAGTAGCAGAAGGTGAGGTTAGAGACATAGATAGACAAGGTCCATGGTATACAAGTCCTTGGTAATTTAGAGTTAGGATTTTATTTTGAGTGCCATGGGAAACTATTGAACCAAGAAGTCTCAAGGTGATATGGCATGGGAGGGGACATTTAATGGTAAAGTTGTTGCCAACTTCTTTAGTACTTTAAGTTTTACCTTAGACTGATCATTTACTTGAATAGTTTCAATTCTTGGTACAGGATAAGCATTATGCTCACTTGATACAAAGAATAAAGGCTCATTGCTCAAAAGCAGTGACAACAAAACAACCAAGTGATTGTTAGAAAAATTTCTCCCCATTCTTTTTTTTTGTTTGTTTCACTCTCTTGTCACCCAGTCTGGAGTGCAGTGGCTCGATCTTGGCTCACTGCAACCTCTGCCTCCCAGGCTCAACTGATACTCATGCCTCAGCCTCCAAGGTAGCTGGGATTACAGGCAAGTGCCACCACATCCAGCTAATTTTTTTTTTGTATTTTTAGTAGAGATGGAGTTTCACTATGTTAGCCAAGATGGTCTTGAACTCCTGGCCTCAAGTCATCTGCCAACCTCGGCCTCTCAAAGTGCTGGGGTTATAGGTGTGAGCCACTGTGCCTGGCCTCTACAAATAATCTTAAAATACACATTAAGTTTTTCACTTAATTAAAATTCAGAGTACTTTCAAATTGCAAGGCTTTAGTGAAAATTGTACATTTGTCCTTAAATGATTTTATTTTGTTTTCTTCAAGCTAATAAGCACAAGTGGGTACCACTTCACTTAGATGATGTAAGACCAGAGAGTCAAGAAAGACCTGGATCCCGGAACAGCTCAAGATGTCAACCTGAAGCAAATAAACCAACACATAACAATAGGAGAAATGATACACGAAGTAAGTTACCATTCTAAGAGAAAAATGACTTAGGAAAGGCTTAGTCTTAATGCTCATTATTTTAGTAACTACATGTAGTATAAACCATTTGAGAATAAATTGCAGACATCATGTCAACTTAGCCCCAAATATCTTCAGGGTATATTTCATAAGAACAATATAACCATAATACAATGAACAACAGTGAAACTTAACATTAATACAATGTGTTTGTCCACAGGCATATTTTTTTCAATAAAGTCTTTTATAGTTGCCCCTCCCCTGCCCCAAGGAATCCATTCTGGGATCCCCCGTTTCATTTGATTTTTTTTTTTTTTTTCGCTTTAGGCTCCGTTAATCTGTAACAGTTCTTTGCTTTTATCTTTAATGACATTGATTTTTTTGAAGATTGTAAGATAATATAGATATCCCTTACTTTGGGTTTTCTGATGTTTCCTTATGATTGAATTGGGGTTGTGAATTTTTGGCAGCAGTGCTGTATGAGAAAATGTATTGCCTGGCATGATGGCTCATGCCTATAGCCCCAGCATTGGGATGCTAAGGAAGGCGGATCATGAGGTCAGGAGATTGAGACCATCCTGGCTAATGCGGTAAAGCCCCATCTGTACTGAAAATACAAAAAATTAGCTGGGTGTGGTGGCAGGTGCCTGTAGTCCTCGCTACTTGGGAGGCTGAGGCAGGAGAATCACTTGAACCCAGGAGGCAGAGGTTGCACTGAGCCCAGATTGTGCCACTGCACTCCAGCCTGGGCGACAGAGTGAGACTCTGTCTCCAAATATATATATGATTTTCTTCTTAGTGCATTGCATGGGAATGAGTATAACCTTGGTTTGTCCTATTATTGAAGATATTAACTTTGTTTACCCCATAACTGTATTTGATTATTAGATTGACTGTTATTATTTACGTTTTTTGTTTGAGGTGGAGTCTTGTTCTGTCGCCTAGGCTGGAGGGCAGTGGCGCGTGTTCTGGGCTCACTGTAGTCTCTGCCTCCTGGGTTCAAGCAATTCTTCTCTCAGCCTCCTGAGTGGCTGGGAGTACAGGTGCATGCTACCATGCCTGGCCAATTTTTGTATTTTTAGTAGAGGCAGGGTTTCACCATATTGGCTGGTGTCGAACTTTTGACCTCAGGTGATCCACACACCTTGACGTGCCCAAGTGTTGGGATTACAGGTGTGAGCCATTGCCACTGGCCACAACATTGATTATTAACTTTGGTTACTTGGTCGAGGTAGTATATTCTAGACTTGTTAACAAATTTTAATTTTCTTCAGTTTTTTTTTTTTTTTTTTT